TCTTTGGGGTTCAGGGTTTTGGGTTTAAAGTTTTTTGGGGCAGGGTTTAGGGTTTAGGGCAAGGGTTTTCTGTTTCAGGGTTTAGGGTTTATGGTTTTATGGTTCAGGGTTTCCTGTTTCAGGTTGTAGAGTTTAGGATTCGGAGTTCTTCAGGGTTGCAGGAAAGGGCTTCATGGTTTTAATGTATGGTTCAGAGTTTGGGGCTCGTGTGGTCGAGGTTTTCGGGCTTTGGTGTGTGGCAGATAAGCTTGTGATCCAGGGCTGGGGGTTTCCGAATTCAGTCAGGGCATCATTGTTTGAGTGTTTCGAGCCTTCTTAACTTAGGGTCGTCGTTCGAAGCTCCGGTTGGGTTTAGCGGGTGGCTGTCTCCGACGTGTGGGGCTGCTGGGCGCGGCGAAGCGAGAAGCGCAGTGCCTGCCAAGGGAGAATGAACTTGGAAGATCGCTGCAACAGGCTGCCGCCTTCAGCGAATCATGCGGGGCTCCGAGACCCGCCAGCTGGAAAGTTGGAAGACTGGTTTCTGGACCAAGAATGCCGCAACAGAGATTCCAGTTTCCAGAGTTCCTTATAGGGGTAGGGCTTAGGGTTATACTAGAATGATCTAGAATGTAAACCGAAATCACAACCCTATTCCAATTCCCTTTTTGTAGTCCTAGGTTCCCTAGAAAGTTACCCAGTGCCAACAAGGGATCCTTTTTTATTCCTAGGTTACTGGGCAAACTAGCCAAGTATCCGAGAGCCTCAAGGTTTACGTCTTTCCGGGAAAGAGCTTGAGTAAAGGGGGATTGAAGGGGTTTTCTTTATAGAGTCTCGGGTTTAGGGGCTTAGGGGTTTAGGGATGTAAGGAATTTAGGGGTTTAGGGTTTATAGGTGTAAGCCCACTTATCGTAAACGATGCCCAAACCCCGAACATCAGACCCTAAACCCCTGGACCCTTGTGGTTGGAATGAAGGTGTGCTGCCTCCAGTGCTCCAGTGAAAGGCCTTGCAGTCTCGCTTCATTTGGATGGAGCGCGCCTATGACCAGCGGCGCACCGCTGCAGGGGCCCGCGGAGATTTCGAAGAATGCAAGCTTTTACAGATGGCACGCCCGGACCAAAAAAACTTGTGGTGCCCGACGCGCGCACTACCGCTTTGGGGATGTCCCTTGGCAATTACAAGTAGCAGAGTCGAGGCGATGTCATGTGATGCTGCTGTCGGTCATGATGCTGACGATGGTGCTTAAGGTATTATAGAATTATAGATGCCGAAGTACTGAACTAATTTCGCTATTCAGGAGCCTAGAGCCTCATTCTAATTATTAGGGGACCTGATTTTGTTCTGTGGAGTTTGCTTCGGGAGCTTGCAGTCTTGTGTGTGAAGCCGAGACGAGGTGCAGAACCAGCTCACGGATGTGACGTCCATCACGGCGTCCTATGGAGACTCGGTGGCAGAGAGGCACAATTTAGTGCTGAGGGTTGTGGGTGGTGGACTTTCAGGGTCTTCTGCATTTAAGGACGTATGGCAGCTATCTATATGATTGAAACGATGATGCTGGTTCTACTGTCTTCCGACAGGAATTGTCAAAGCTCGGTTCTGCTAGGCCCTGATCGGGCGAGTGGTATTTATAGAAGTTCCCAACAATAGGGTTGAAAAAGCCTTCAGCCCCAAACTCAACCCGTATATAACTTCCTCAACCTTTTCACCTCCAGAAACCCTAAACGAAGCCATTAGCTGGTAAGTCGTTCGCCCTGGCCCAGACTCCTGATGAAAACACAGGAATGGTGTATTTATGGGGTCCAGGCTTCATCAGTGTAATACTCTGCATCTCGGGGTTTACGGGTTTCTGGGCTTCCCAAGACCATGAAGCCCAACAAATAGAGGAAATAGAAATCAAGCTACAAGCCAACACCCAAGGCCCTAAACCCTGACACCCAGAAATCCTGCACGGTTTGGCCGAGCCATGAATCCAACTACTTGGAGGATCATGGGACTTAGTAGGTAAGGTTATAAGTACCTTAAGAGGGGTTAAAAGTAATTGTAAGTATTGTTACCCGACTTATATAACCCCACTTAAGAATACCCATGAACCTCCAACTTGGGGTTCCGCCCTGTATCTCCGCGTGGTTTGTTTGGAGATGTTGCACGGCCACGAGGTTTGGAGCGGACCAAATTTACAAACCCCAAACCCCAAACGCATGAGCCATGAAATCTGGAACTTCGACCGCTCGGCTTAGGATTTAGGGTATGTGCAAGCTTCGTCTTGGCCTTCGGCGCAGGGCCGTGTTTAAGGAAACTCCCAACATGTTGAATACCGGTGCTACTTGTACTTGGCATAAGGGATCCTCCTGAAAGAGGGGTGAATATAGGGGCCGGCCGAAATAAGTGCCCCTATCCTAGACCGTCCAACTACCCTCTTCTATACCCCAAATCCCACTATTAAGGACCATAAGGGCTCCATTAAGGGGCCATTGGGGGGTCCTGGTATTCTATTACCATTCTTACATGTCCAAGGCCCTTATGTTATGGAACCCTACTTTAGATCCCTAAACTCGAAACCCCTAAACCCTATTCTAATTATGAAGGCCCCTATACTACCCTACTATAGAGCCCTTAAGGAACCCTGTAAAGGGAGCCCCCTTCCTAATTATCAAGGCCCCTATGTGTTTTCTGTCTTTTGGTCTTTGGTTCCCCAACTCAAGGAACCCCTATAGATCCCTTTAAAGGAACCCTTATAGATCCCTTTAAAGGAACCCTTATAGGGCCTACTTGGAACTATCTTCTGGTCTTTGGTTCCCCGGCTCTCACAAAGGAGCCTTCGCAGCCATCAAATCCACCGGCCAGGCCCTGGCCTCGGGGTTGTTGGTTTTTTTGGGGTTGGGGGTTTAGGGTTTAGGATTTTTTGGGGTTTAGGGTTTAGGAGTGTGGGGTTTTTTTGGGTTTAGGAGTGTGGGGTTAAGGGTTTTGGAGTTTAGGAGTGTGGGGTTTGGAGTTTAGGATTTTTGGGTTTTGCGGTTTAGGAGTGTGAGGTTTAGGGTTTAGAAGTGCGGGGTTTTGGGGTTTAGGAGTTTGGGGTTTCGGGTTTGCGAGTTTACGGTTTTCGGGTTTAGGGTTACATTTCCCTTGTTGGGCTGGAGGATCTTATTTGCGAGAAGGGTTGAGAGGCTTTGAAGGGCCAACATTTTCTATGGTTTTGTTTGTTCGGGTTTGGGAGTTGTGGTTTTGGGTTTAGGGTCTGGATGCCACGAGGAGTCGAAATCATCATCAGAGCAGTCTGTTGTCATTGTAGTCTCCACAGAAACTTAGTATGCTGTAGCCGATGATTCTTCCGAGTCTGTCAAGGTTCTTATAGAGTTGCTTTCTGTGTTCCGATCGGCCTTTCTGAAATTTCAATAGAGTTTTGGTCGGGGCTATAGTATAGAGACTGTAGAGTTTGGGGCCTGGGTTCGCGGCCCAAGCCACTACCTAAATATTAAGCTCTCACGCTTGTTGTAGGTGCTCGGTGCCGAAAACCAAGGCAGAGCATGCAAGAGCTAAAGCTCGAGGGTTGCCCTAGCAGAGTCCACAGTTGTCCATCAGAGCTAGTTTGGATTTGTGCGTGGTGCGGCGGGGTGCTTGTAGATGTTTCATCATTCCCCAGCACTAGCAACTAGATTTTGAGAGGTCGTCACATGGGGCGGCGACCACTTTGGCGGCGACAGCTCGCACGTGGCCAGGGAGCTTATGGATGCTGCTTGGCTTTATGCAAAGTTTTAAATTTTTAAACCCGAAAACCCGACCCGAACCCCCAAGGAAGCGAATCGGGTTTAGGGAGGTACATTGTAGATGTCTCACTTCTCCATGGGTTCAGGGTCGCTTCGACATATAACAAAGGAGGTCTCCACGGAGTTTCCGTTGGCGACTGTTCCTCAAACGCAACTCTATCCCGTTGTACCTAAGCCCCTAATGCGCATGACCCAAACCCCTAACCCCCTAAACCCGAAGCCCTTAAGCCCTAAGCCCTAAACCCTATCAGCAGCAGTGATGGCCGTGAGAGAAGCACTGGGCATCAAAGACCTGGGAAGGAAGCGAACAGCAGATATTCCAAGCTCCAAGTAGGTCCTATAAGGGTTCCCTCAAAGAGATCTACAGGGGTTTCTTTAAAGGGATCTATAGGGGTTCGTTTAAGGGGATCCTTAAAGGGGTCTATAAGGGATCTATGTATGGTAGGGTTCTATGGCATAGGGGCCTGAATGCTCACCAATACTATTCTGGGGGTTCCTTCGAATTTTATGCCGAATCCGAGGAGCCCTTTGTAAAACTCTACTGGACCCTGAGACCTCCCGTATAAATGCCTACACAATGATCATGACAGCTCTGCAGAAGAGAAAAGACTCAGGTGACCGGTGTCAACGGAGAGGCCGCGAAGAACTACGGCAGCGTCGACTCGACTGCAGATGGTGGGAGGGTCTCCAATCCACATGGGTTTATAGGGGGGTAGGACTATTCGCCCGTTTACAAGGTGTTTTAGGGGTCTTACACTATATACAGGAATCTACACAGATTTGTCGCGTTCTGTCCGGGTGTCCTATAGCCTTCCTTGTACAGAGGCGGTCTTGGTTTAGGATCCCTGCAAGGTAAAGGGTGTAGGTTTCCATCCACTACAGGGTCTGCAAGGCAGGAAAATCGGGAACTATACCCCGAACTTCGTAATGTACGAACCTGATGAAGAAACTCTGCATGGCCCTATACTCCCAAAGTAGTAGTAGTAGTAGTAGTAGTAGTAGTAGTAGTAGTAGTAGTAGTAGTAGTAGTAGTAGTAGTAGTAGTAGTCATACAAAGAACCCTAATCAAGACTCAAAACCCGAGGCTTCTGAATGAGGTTCCTGTTTTAGCAGTTGACGCATAGTCAGTTATCAAGCCTATAGAACCCTCATATACCCTGATCAAACCCTTCAAAGAATCCGTATGAGAATGCATTCGCTCCATGCAAGAGCTCAGGACCAGCGATATGAAGTGCCAAGGGTGCGTACTGGCGCATGACGTGGCGGATCGTACGAGAACGGGAGCCGGTTTACAGCACAAAGGGTTTCGGATGGGTGCCAAACTGGCACATGACGTTTTTGAAGCCTGCCCCCTGCAGCCCTTAGCCGGAACCTGGGTACAAGTGCTTGGTATTCCTAACGAGGCCAAGGCATCATGTACAGCCCGCCGCCCCCACTCCACTTCCCACCCTCTCCCCTACATAGGGAATTCCTATGCCAAGTCTATGTTTGGGTACGTTTATGGTCCCCTACCAGGGTTGGTGCGCATAGGCAGGCCACCCAAGCCTGATGTCCTGACTTGTGAGCCTACGCCACCAGCCATCATAATACCTTCCTGTTGTTTCCGGGGGTAGCAGCTTGCGTGTACAGGTTGATGTGTTCGCATGCTTTAGAATGGAGCCAGGCCTTTTTTGCGCCTACCCAGGCCTCAAATTTAGTTCTTCGTTCGGTTAAGAGGCGGTTACAATTTGGGCGACTGCGTTGGAGGGTCATTGGGGTTCGAGAAATGCTGAAATGCTTGTGTATAGCATCTGAGCTCTCAACCTCGTGCGACACAGAGCCACTGTCGTGTTGGCCAGCTGCTTGCTGAGTAATTTCTGCTAGCAAGCAGGCGTGTTCCGTGCTGAATGTTTGAGAGCGTCGATGGATGGAGGCATCATGAGCTCAGAGACCGACATATGAACCCTGAACTCATGGGACTTATCCCGAAGACCCTGATAGCCTAAAGCCTAGGCTGCAGAATGAAGGGCAGATCTGGCAGTGCAGTCAGGCTGCCGCAACTGGCGGCCGTGCTGGCACCGAACTGGTCCTTGAGTTTGAGTATCTGTTGTTGACGTGCAGCTCCATCAGCCTCGTCCACCGCTCAACGTAGAAGGATGGTGTTAAAGGATACACCACTCAATGCAAGATGTTCCTAATTCAGTCTTACTAAAACAGCAGACGCACCTAGAAGCAAGCCATGCGGAGAGGCACGTGGATCCCTCTTCTGACCTCCAAAAACTCTGAACCCCAAATCAATAGACTTGATTTTCGGAGCTCCAAAGCCCTGAAGCTAAGTAACGGCAGAGTTAAAAAAAACTTCTGTGGCTTCGGGTCAAGAGAAGCGCCTCCACGCTGTTTCTTCCGACTTGGCAGAGCTCGGACTACAGTTTGGAGAAAAGCAGAGCGCTGAAGGGGAGCCTTTGAGCTTCCCTATACCCTGGGGATCGAAGCTCATATTGTTGATGGACAGAATCCTGCATGACCCTAAGGACTCTAAACTATGGGAATTATGGTACATTCCTTATAGTGGGTAATGCAGGATTTTGTCCATCAGCCGTATGTTCAGGCGTTTGGGCCCAGAGACCATGCTATACAAGGCTTTTGGGCTGTTTTGATACCCAGGGATAGGGGCCTACATACTTACCACTACAATTTGGGAGGGGGGAGGGGGTTCCTTATTATGGTTTTAGTATAATATACCCCAAAACCCTATATTCTAATTTGTTAAGGCCTGCTTATTACCCCAAAAAGGGGTCCAAGGGATCTACAGTGGAAAGTGTGGTTTCTACACTAGGAATTCCTAGCATGTGTTGGAAAGTATCGTCCATGCAAGTACTTAGGGTCCTTTTTTTCAGCTGGACTGATAAAGAGAGGCAGACCTTCCTGGGGGTTCTTTTACATGGGTTCATTGAATTACAGTTCCTTGTTCAAATCCATGTTCGTGTCCCATGATTGTCCAGGGGTTAACGTTTGGGGTTTAGGCTTTCTTTTTGCAAAGAAGGTTCGGCTGTTCTTGTGTGATGCGTGCATCTTTTCTGGCGCCCGATTCTGCCATACTCCCGGAGACAAATAATTGCAGTATCGTCTCATGCAGGTTCTACTGCAAATAAACGTTGTCTTACGGAACTCGGAGGGCCGATTGCCAAAAGCGTATGTCGGTCAAGCCCCCCGGATAGCCCAGGCCAGGCTGAAACGCCAAATGCACGACCCAAAGCCCTGAAAACAACCCCTCCATCCTGAGCCGAATCGCCCAAAGCGGCCCGCGATGGTGACGACGACGACGTTAGTTGGGTGTTGGGGGCTACCGGGTTTGGTGCGTTGAAAGGGCAGTTGCGTTGGGGTTTGGGCGTCTGCTGAACTATGATTAGTTGCCTGCAGGGTTATGTCTGAACCTCCAACTGTATAGTGCTACATACATCCAAGCCCATGCCCCCTTACTCCCTAGAGCCCTTGAACAAGTCAACATCGTTGCGGATTCTCCAGGGTGAATGCTTCAAACGCTTACTGAGGTTGCGCGCAGCATTTGGCAGGCCAAGGGGTCGTATAATAGGGTCTGGTGAGGCCACCATGAGGCACTTACAAGGTTTTGTTTAAAGTTCTCTTTCGGGCTCTTCTGCGGGTCTGGCTTTGTTTGCGGTGGAATATGTGTAATTATGTAACGGAACGTAACTTAACGTAGCGTAAAGCAATGTAATGTAATGTTAATGTACGGGGCTAGAACTCAGTGTACTGTACTCTAATGTAATGTTAATGCCAATTTTACTTTTACTCCTACTGTTAATGAGTCTTAATTTTCATTTTAATGTCTATGTTAATGTATTGTTAAGGTAATGATGTTGAACTTAGCGTAATGGAATGTTAATGTGCCGGAATGAAGCGGACTGCACTGTAGCGTGATGTAATGTTTACATACACACGTTCATACATACATACATACATACATACACACCTGCAAGGGGGGTTCCTGAACTTCGGGGTTCCTGAACTTCGGAGCCTCTGTTGGTTTGGGGGCATGGGGTTTCTATGATGTGGGCTTAAATCTCTTTTCTGGTCGAAGTTCGGGCTCCTCAGCTTTGAGAAACTCCGAAGCGATTAGAGTTGATGGAGGTCGGTGATCGTTTGAGTTTTTAGTATCCTCGAGCCTCGCGTGTACCCTGAACTGAACCCTTGACCCGACGTCACGGTTTAAGGTTTTGGGTTTAGGAGTTTAGGGTTTAGGCATTTTAATTTTTGCATTCGGAGTCTGATTTTGGGCATGGGCTGGTGGTTCCGAGTCTGTGCAGCGGACGTTTCGGGAACGACCTTATATGAGGTCATAACCGACATACTGTAATGTTGTTAGGACAGGTCAACCATGATGATGCTGAGCACTGGAGCATTCATAATTTTGGTGTTCGCCAGCTGGCAGGGGAGCACGGAATCGCACATCCCACGCGTGTCTTGTCTACCGACGGAGTAGACGCTGTGTTGTGTCTTGATCGGGGCTCAAGGGGTTCGGAGCTTTTTGCCGGTTGTAGCAGGTAATATAGAACAGATGAGCCAGAACCTATTCCAAGTACTTAGCTCCAAAACCCTAAACCTTGTACCGGGTTTATGTCGTTGTGCCGGGTTTATGGTTTAACGCTCGTTCGCTGCTCGGGGTTGGGACACGATCCAGGTTGGATGTGCTTGCGGCATGGTTCTTCAACGCATCTAGAATCGTATAGACTTGGGCCCCTGTGCGTCCTATACCTACCTGTATAAGTGTGTGTGTGTGTGTGTACCTCTATCCGTACAGATAGATTCATAGATAGATAGGCAGATAGATAGACAGAAAGGCACATAGAAAGATAGATTGCAGATACAGACATTAGATAAACAGATAGAGAGAGAGAAAGAGAGATAGGTATGTTTGTATATGCATGCATACCTGCATACATACCTGCTTTACCGACTTGTCTACCTACCTTACCTACCTACCTACCTACCTACCTACCTACCTACCTACCTTTTCACACATACATACTTATATGTGTATACAACAGTTGTACCTTTTATCCTATGGTTATATGCACACAGGTGTCCATATAAACCTTACTCACCAGACAAATCAGTCGACTGAGTTCCTAAATCCAGAATCCTTTTAGCTTTAAGATGCGCGGACTGCGGCTTCGCGATGGCGCAAAGCCGACGTGAACCGACCACAGGACCATGTGAAGTAAGATGCGAACTACGTTTACCCTAGAACAGCGACTGTTCAACAATGAAGTCTTCATCTTCGATCTGCACCAGAGCTCGAAAGCTGTAGCCCGGAAGCCGTAAAGTCGTGACTGCAGAGTTCATGGGGGTTCAGGGTTGAGGTTACGATGAGGCGAGGCTTAAAACCTCCGTCCAAACCTAAAAAAGGGCTTCAAAAATACTGACCTACACTATTTAGGGGGCTCCCTATTATACTTATAGTATAAAGGACCCCAAAACCCGATTCTAATTATGAAAGCCCCTATCTTAGGTCATCTGGAGCTTCTGGGATGGCAAGACGCCGGTGCTTGTTGAGCGCTGTCACCTGGCTCTCGTTTGTCCAAGGGCCGTGTCTGGTCATTTAGGTTTATGAGTTTTATATACATACATGCATGCATACACATACATGCATGTGTACATATGCATACATATATACATATATATATATATGTACATGCATGCATGCATGTGTGTATGTATATATGCTCTCGGGTCCCGGGCCGCCACCCCCCCCCCCCATGGTATCCCCCCCCCCCCAACCCCCTGCCGCCCTGCTGCTGCACGCCCACCCGCCCTGCCCGCCCCGCCGCCCCCGGCCCGCACCTTGCCTGCCCCTGGACCTTGTGCGCGGATCGGGAGTGTCGCACTATGCCCTGCCGTGTGCGGAAAGCGGCATCTGACGTGAATTGCAATGCTGAATTATGAGGGTTGTATTGCGATGGTGATGGTGGCAGATCTTCTTTTGCAGGTATCAATGATGAACATGACGACGACAAGGATGATGTTGAGCATGGTATGATCGTCGACTCATGTCCCGGTCTAGAGCAGCACAACATCATGAGCAGTATCACCGGTGCCACAACAAGAGGGAAGACAAGGAGTAACACATAAGAACGTCGTGGCAAAAAGAGTACCACCACAGGCCCCACACCACAGGGGGGGCGGGGGGGAAGGGGGGAGGATACCATGGGGTGGGGGGGGGAGGGGGGGTGTGGCAGCCCTGCATCATATATACATACG